GATGCTGATGTGGGTCCCAATGCCAAGGTGACCTATTCCCTGGCCCCAGCCCACCCGGCAGAGCAGGCTCCCTGCTCCTGCATCTCCGTGAACTCTGAGAACGGGCACGTGTTTGTGCTGCGGCCCCTGGACTACGAGCGGGTGAGGCAGATTGAGGTCTCGGTGAGCGCCTCAGATGCAGGGACTCCTCCTCTCAGTGCCAATGTCACTGTCCGCCTGCTTGTGGTGGACGAGAACGACAATGCACCGCTGGTGCTGTACCCAGCCCAGGACAGCAGCCCAGCGTCCAGCGAGCTGGTGCCCATGTCAGCTGAGGCAGGCTACCTCATCACCAAGGTGGTGGCTGTCGATGCTGACTCAGGGCAGAATTCGTGGCTCTCGTACCACCTGCTGAGGGCCACTGACCCCGGGCTGTTTGCCGTGGGTGCCCAAAGCGGGGAGGTGTGGCTGAGGAGACCTGTGACAGACAGGGACGCCATGAAGCAGAAGCTCGTCATCCTGGTGCGAGACAACGGGCGGCCACCGCTGTCAGCCACTGCTGCACTGAGCGCACTCCTGCTCAAGGACTTCTCAGACGTGCGCCTGCCCCACAGCAGCCTGGCCACGGAAGACGAGGGAGGCTCCCTGACCACCTATTTAATCATTTCCTTGGTCTTTGTCTCACTCCTCTTCCTCGTGTCCATATCAGCCTTTGTCACGCGCAAGGTGTGCAAGAGAAAGGAGCTGAAGGGTGAGCACGTGCTTTATGGCACCGGGCACTTGCAGAGTGGCCTGGCTGATGCGGCCGCTGCGGGGACCCTGCCCCACCCCTATTGCTATGAGATCAGCCTGACGACGGGCTCGGGCAACAGCGAGTTCAAGTTCCTGAAGCCCATGGTCCCCAGCCTGCCACCACAGCTCAGTGCCATGGGCGGAGGCACCGATGATGATCTCCATTTCCCCCATGGCCCTGTGGCCGTGGAGGACACGGCACCAGAGAACCCAGGGACGCTCACTGCAGAACAGTTTCATAGTCTTTCTTTTAACTAGCATAGAGTCATCACGGCCAGAGGCTTTGTTCCTCATGATAGGAAGGGATCCATTCTACAGTATGTGACTCCAGAGTAAATCTGCATTTGTAATTGGTGCCACCAATTTCTCACAAATTTGAATACAGAGAAATGCTTTTCTCTGCCCCCCAAACACAACTAAGCAAAAGAAACTAATGTTCCCTCACTCAGGAAATTTCTCAGATCCAGTATGGATATTTCTGAAATGCTTCCAGACTGGGATTGTTTCCAGGGTCCCCTGCTAAATTTTTGTCTCACGTGCAGTGAGCCAAGATAGTGGATCCTCTAACTCCATGCTGTAATGCAATGGGATGTTCAGGCAGACAATTGACCTGCTCACTGACATGCACATAAGCATTTTTGCAGGTCTGAAAATCAAGGAAGTTGTGAGTGCTCTATCACAATGTGATTCAAACACCAGACTTGTTCTGATATGGTTCGGGAATGTCTGTGTGTCTGTATACACTGCACTGATGCTGCTCAGAGAAGCAGGGAGTTGCACACACCTAACTATTGCGATGTGCACAATTCCCACTCGGCAGGCATGAAGGGTACTGGGACCCTCTGAGGACAGCAGCCACATCTTCTCTGAGGGAGTGCAGCAAAACGCACGAGATCTTCCTTTGGCCCATAAGAGGGGGTTGGGCGGGTGGGCTGCCTCCTTGGGATTGCCTTGTAAATAGAGCAGCACCAACGGTGTTGGCAGAGGCTGGAAGTGTTCAGAGTTGGGAAATTGTGTTCATTGCTTTTGGGTTCATTGCAGGAAAAGTCCACAAGTTACTTGAGAGGACTTTGTCTGAAGGCAGAACTGAGATGAACTTGTAGAAGAGCCAAGTGGGTTTGTTCTTCTCGTTGTTTCTGAATTCAGATGTTTCTGGATGGGAGTGGCAAACTGTCCTGATATGACATTCTGGGTTTGTGTTAGAGCGTTTACATTCTCCTTTTTGCCCTTTCTCCTTCTACTCTGTGAGCTTTGGTTAGCATAGTCTTGCCTATTTCTCTTCAGAAGGACTGACACCCCATGTATAATTACAGATTGTTTGGGTGAAGGCCATGTGAGATGGAATATTTGGATGCCCTCAAGCTGTGTGGTGCTGCAGTTATGAAGTGTACTGTTGTAAACCGGGATACCCTTGTGTGTAAAAGTGAAATAAAGAGAACACCTGAATGCCTAGTGTGGAGACAGTCATCCTTGTAGAGGTGTTTTTCCTGTGAAAGTTCTGTCAAGGTTTTCAAAAGGCTGGGAGTTTTTTTCTCATTTTGTGCCCTGGCTGTGGGAAATTTGAGTGTGTAAATTCCTTCAGTTTGGAGATGCGGCCAACAGAGCATTTGGGAAATTCATGGGAAGTAGGGAAGTGCTGTAAGGACTCTGTGGGTCTTCTGAGCACTGAGCTCTTGGGTACAAGAGAAGCCAGTTCGATCCAGGTGAGGGGAAACTGTCCCCTCCCCTGACAGGGGCCCTGGGTGTGCAAAAGCCTCTGCAGAGCAGTGATGTAGGGGGACTGCCTGTTCCATGTCTCCAAACAGCTCCAGTTGCCCGTGACAACTCTGAGGTTTTTCAGCACAAATATTTTTAATTCTAAATGTTCTTAGGAGAT